CAGGCGGGCCAGTTGCTGAAGGCCAAGGCACACGAACCTGTCACCCTTTGGTGGCCAGGTCTGTGCATAGCTTGTACAGTCCTGAAGCCTGGAACCTGCAAACACAGACCATCCCATGACCTCAATCTCCCACTTCCTGACCTGTAAGAAAAAAATGGGAGTAGGGCAGACCTGAATGGAAGTTGGGACTTGAGAGTTGACTGATAGCCTTAGTGTGTTTCCAAATCCTAATTAGCATAAATGTGGACTATAGCACTGGTCCTTTTTAAAAACCCTAATTAGCGTAAGTTTGGACCAATGGCTGTGACCCAAGGGCTATATAAACCCCTAGACTAGTATTCAGAGGAAGAACACCTGGGTCTTTTCTGGCCCTGTGGCTGCAAAGAGTGCCGTTCCTGTTTGTAGTCATCAGTAGATCTCACTGTTAGACTGGCTCATCCTGCTCCATGGATTTCATTCTTTGAATTCACATAACAAGAAGAAATTGAGGCTGAACTCCTGGAGGGTCTGTTGCAGCTCTGGGGGGCTTGGCTCACTGTTAAGAGCTGCAACACTTCTCTGAGGCCTGCAACCTTAGGCAGACCCCACCCATCATCAGAAGCAGAGAAACTCCAGTCTTACCTGCAGGCAGAAGCAAGGAATCGAGTTTCATCTCAGATCTTTGGCTTCAATAGCACCGGGCCCAGGTGAATAACCCATGATAGTTTGCCCTCTCAAGGTCCTGCAAAACCTCTTTCCCCATCTAAGGTAATATTCACAGGTTCTGGGATTAGGATGTAGATATCTTTGGGGGTCATCGTTCATCCTACCACTCCATGTGTCTAAAGTTTTGTTTTCTAACTATTTGTGTGGAAGATACCAAGAAAAGTAAGTTGTCCTTCCTGTCCTCAACTGGTTTACAATCCTGTTGGGGAGACAGTGATTACCCACTGACTCAGGCAGCATGGTCAGTGCTGCTCTTGGAATGCAGAGAGGGTGGATCGTGTTGATGAAGATGGAGATGAACATAGGATGCTTTTTTCTTCCCCAAGAGTTTCCTCTCCTGGGGGCAACATCCACAGGAACGATGACTACTGACTACGTGCATCTTGTCCCCTGGAGGAGTGTGATAGAGCATCCCTGCCTTCTAACACAGGAAGGAAGAACCTTTGGGAGAGGCGAGGAGGAGTCTCCTTACTCGATCAGCCAAGGTCTTTCCCTTCTGCTTTTCTGATGCTTTGAGGCATTTCACTCAGACTCTGGGGAGAAGGTTCTGGGCATTAAGTTTGGCTCAGGTTCTGGCACGTAAATTGATGGTAAAGAGGGAGTGAGGAGTGAAAGTGAAGACATGTCCCCCCTCCTCCAACTCCCCAGAGCCTTGGGGGAATTGTCCCAGAAATAGGACAGGAATGTTTCCAGCCAAAATCAAATACATGATGTCAACGACTCCCTTATACACATTTGAGTTGTTTAGTGAAAGCATGACCTATGCAGATCTTTCATTGATTATAGTAAAACCACTGCCTATAGCCATGGAGACAGGTGTGAGCAATTAAGCAAGGTACCTAGGGGACAGACCCACCATCATTGTGTCCAAATAGTTTCTGTGCACCCTTCGCTCCCTGCTGGTTCTGGTACAAGGCTGGGAGGCAGAGAGTCACTGAGTATCCAGTCCTTGGCTCCTAGCTGGTCTGTCCTGGGACCTGAGGGAATTGCTTTAGTCACTGCTTCCGTGACTTCAAGTCTACGCCTGTGTCTCAGGAAGGAGTAGCTGGTGTGTGTAAGCTATGCAGCAAAGATCTTAAAATCTATTTGTGAATGTAATCTTTTCTGCAAAAACAGCTTTGTTGAGTTATAATTCACAGTCTTGTGCTGCATGATGACATTTCAGTTAACCACCGACCACACACAGGACAGTGAAGCAAAAGGATGTTCCATCTAGCCCCGGGGCGCTGTGCACTATAGCATCTGGGTTTGGATAAATACACTCCATCATGTTCACAAGTGACACAATTGCCTGACGAGGCGTTTTCAGGATGCATCCCTGTTGTTAAGTCATGCTTATGTGAGCTCTCTCATTTCAACTGAACAATTCACTGGTTTTCAGTATTCAGAGTTTATGTAATCACCACCTCCAGCAATTTTAGAATATTTTCATCACTCCCCAAAGAAAGCCTGTGTCCGTGAGCAGTCACTCTCCATTTCCTTCTAGTACCTACTCTCCAGCCCCAGGTAGTGCTAATTGGTCCGTCTTCATAGAGTTGCCTCTTTTGAGCATTTTATATAAATGGGATCCTACGCTCTGTGGTTCTTCTGACTTTGCCTCTGCTCATTTAGCACCATGTTTTCATGGACCATCCACGTTGTAGCATGAATCAGCACTTCATTCCTTTTGATGACTAAATAATCTTTGTATGGAAAGACCACATTTTATTTATCCGTTATCAGTCGATAGGCATGTGGGTGATTTCCACTTTGGGGTTATGAACAGAGAGTCATGAAAGTCCAGAGAGAAATGTTGCTATGAACATTTGTGCATGTTTTCAGATCTCTTGGAATTATACCTAGGAGTGGAATTTCTGAGTCTCATGGTGACATTATGTCTAAGCTTTTGAGGAATGTCTGGTTTCTTTTCCTCAGTGATGTATCATTTGACCTCCCAACAGCACGTAGGAGGGTTCTGATTTTTCCACATCATTGTAACAATTATTTCCTATTTTTTAAAAAAATGATTATCCTAATGGGTCTAAACAGGTTAGTCTTTGTAGTTAGATTTACACTTCTCTGATGGCTAAATGATAATGATAATCTTTTCATGTGTTTACCATTTGTACATCTTAGGTAAATGTTTTTTTCAGATTCTTTGTCCATTTTTCTTGTGGGGGGTACTAGGGATTGAACTCAGGGGCACTGGACCAGCCCCATTTAGAGACAGGGTCTCACTAAATTGCTTAGCACCTTGCTGTTGCTGAGTCTGCCTTTGAACTTGTGATTCTCCTGTCTCAGGCTTCCAAACTGCTGGGATAACAGGCCTGTGCCACCACGTTGGGCTTCTTTGCCCATTTTTAAAACTGTTAATTTTGTAGTCTTAAAAAAATTTATGAAATACAGAAGTTTATTCTCTCACAGTTCTGGGTGGGGAATTTCAAAATGAAGGTGCCAACATATGAGATGGGCCAACTTACTGCATTGTCACATGGTAGAAGAGCAGAAGAGAAAGAATCTACTCCCTTAGATCCTTAATATCACATCCTCATAACCTGAACACCTCCCAAAAGGCCTCACCTTCCAAGGCAACCACACTGGGGAAAAATGTTCAACACATTAATTTAGGATGACACATTCAAACCATAGCATTTATGCAGTTCATTTTTTTTAACCCAAACTAATTACTTGTGGTGATTATGATAAGATAGACTTACATATGATGAATTCATACACTACAAATGCTACAGCTTGTCAATTTGATTTGTAAGAAACACATGTTGCCTTTGTTGTCCAGAATTAGAGATGCTAAATAAGGATCCAACATAATGTACACAGTTAGCCAATTTGAGTTCACTGTATATTTGGAAAATTAATGTGCATGTGTACCGAGAAAAGGCATTTTAGATTGAAGGAAGAAAAAAAAAAACCCTCCATGAATATAGGGTGATGCTAACTGATAAGTATTAAACAATGGGAGCTGAAAATAACCTTCTTTTGATGAAAAATTTTAGTTGTAGTTGGACACAATACCTTTATTTTATTTATTTTTATGTGATGTTGAGGATCGAACCCAGGGCCTCGCATGTACTAGGTAAATGCTCTACCACTGAGCCACAACCCCAGCCCTTGATGAAAAATTTTAGGTCATATTCTTCTGTAACAGCCATTCATTTAAATAGATGACAGGCAGATAAAAGGTAATAGATAAACTTCAGTAGGTAGAACAGCCCATTATTAACACAACAGTATTTTAAAGTCACTATAACTTACAAAGAGGGAAATAATTGGTTATTTTTACTAGCGTGGTTGCCCTCCCATTAAGATTAAATTATTGGTAGATTATCAATGAATGCATTCTACCTTCTTATTGTCCTTGCTCCTGAATAGGTCATTGATGCTACAGAAAAATTGTGTAGTTTTAACAACACTACATTGATGCTACTATGGACCAAATGTCCACAGTGGGCACTCTAAAGATAGGTGGGCTGGATTTGAATCCCATGTTGGCCAGCCATGGCCTTGACCATCCCTTCTGGACCTTAGTTCTCTCACCTACACAATGTGGAAGGATGTAACTAGTCACGACACCAGCTCTCACTGAGCTTTTTCTATTTTATTATGTGCACATTAGTAATCTTGTTTAATCTGCTTGTCAATCTTGCAAAAGAGGTGACATAATCTCCATCTTACCAGGGAGAAAACTGAAGCTGAGCAAGTTGCAGCAATGTGTCCAGGGCTGCAGAGCTGGGAGGAGGCGGAGTCCGTTCTTTCCAGGACCTGTTGGACTCTAGGATTTTGCTCAAATGTTAACCTCAGTAAAGTTTTTTTTTCCTGAAAATTTACCTTTCCTTTTGTCATTTCTGCCATTTGAATGCAACTGTAATTTAGCAAGTGCTATCAGAAAAGAATCAGAAGAACCCAGATAACAAAACTATCAGCAGCTCACCCAGGCAGAGAAGAGACACAGCAACTGTGAGAAGAATACTGTTCATCGTGATTTGTGCTCACTTTTGAGGAGGTTTTAACAAAGTCTTGGCCTGGCCTCCTCGTTTAGTCCACCTCAAACTCCCTGGAAAACCCTGTAAGGAAAGGACCAGTTAGTTTTGCTCTTCTGCAACGCTCCACTTAGGATTTCCATGTAGTTCCCTAGAGAGACATTGGGTGTCACTTGTGAGTTATGTGAAGTCAATTTTCCTGGCAGTTGACAGCCTGGGTTCTTTCCCTAGAGCTTCCGGCTCCCTGAGATCCGGCTTGGAGGTATGTCCATTACCAGGACTTCTGCCCTCGCTCTGCCTGAGTCAATCTGCTTCTCATTTGTCCTCAAGAAGAGGGCTCCCTGAAGATGGGTAAGCTTCAAGTTTGAAGACTTCAAGGCCAAGGCCAGAGACTTGCAAATGATGTCTACGGACAGGAGGATGCTGTCGAGGAAGAGGGGGAGTGTCTGCAATGCCCCTGCCAGCTTGGAGTGCTTTCTCCCAGAATTCCCTGCACTCTGCCCACGGGCTTGTCCACACCAGGCTGTGAGCAACTGTGAGCAATTGGAGGGCAGGGACTATTATTTATCCTTCTCTCCTCCCTCCTTCTTTTCTTCCTTCTTCCCTCCCCTCCCATAAATATTTATTGAATATGAATTATGTGCCAGACGCTGGGCATAGAGCAGAGAAAATAGAAAATTTCTCTTCCTTCCTGGAATTTCCAATCTGATTTCTTATTTATCTGTATGTTCTCAGCACTAGCACACCATAAGGCACTTAATAACCACTTTAACAGCCTGGTATCTCTTCCAGTTTTCTTTTATGCATATCTGAATATATATACACGCTATTTCAATTTGAGATGCAAATGGGATCATGCCTTAATACCATTCTGTGACATACCCTCCTCCTCTAACAGTGTATTATGGCCCTCTTGCCATATTAGGACACAAAAATCTACTTCAGAATTTACGATTTCTCAAATCAAATGCTTTTTGGAGTCACTGAGATCTGTTCCTTAGAATTTAGAAAAGATTGGCCAGGAGTTCAAGTTCGCTCCCTTTGGATTCTCAGGGTTGGCCTAGGATTGGGACTGGACTGGCATGCTCAATTTCTCGCCGTCACTTCTGGTCTCTGTTCATGCTTCTGCTGAGTGGATTTCATCACAGTTTGTTTAGCCACTCTCCAGTGCTGGGCTTGGAGGTTGTTTCCGGTCTTTTACACAATGCTGTAGTGAATAACCTCATTCATCTTTTGTTTTATGCATAAGGAATAAATTGCTAGAAGCAGCATTGCAGAGTCAATATAGCAATATATAAATGCTGAATTCTCTCCATTAAGGTTATATTAATTTTCATTTCTGTTAGAATATGTTATCAAATTGTGATTTTGCTTATCTGTGCACACATACACATATTTCTTTTTTATATATTGGACTATTTGTGTGTGTGTGTGTGTGTGTGTGTGTGTGTGTGTGTGTGTAGGAATTATTAATCTGAAGCAGCCTTTTAAAAGTGTCAGAAAAAGTCATCTCTTTGTAATTTGAAATGTGATTTTTTTTCTTATGTTATTATTTGCTTTCATGTCTTTTTTTTTTTTTTTTTGTACTGAGGATTGAAACAGAACCTCGGGGCACTCAACCACTGAGCTAAATCCTTAGCCCTTTTTATTTTTTATTTTGAGACAAGGGAGTTGCTAAGTTGCCCAGACTGGCCTTGAACTTGAGATTCTCCTCCCTCAGAGTCCTGAGTAGCTGCGATTACAGACCTGTACAACCTTGCCTGGCTTCCATATTATTGTTCTTTTAAATCACACAACTCTTTCCACTATGTTGCGTTGCAGCTTTTCCTAGAGTGGAATTGCTTGGTTACAAAGTATAGTATCTTTAAAAGGATTTTGGATACATAGTGGGTATTAGATATTATGTGTTTAAAAACAAGTAACTTTTATAGGTTGAGAGAAAAGTTCCCCCACTCATCAACTTGGGCTGACCTTCTCTAATAAATACTTCCACCCACTTTTTATTTTCCTATATTATTTGAAACAAATTATTCCATCTTAAAAGATTTCAGAATTTAGAGAAGACATAATCTTTGGATAAGAAATTCACCATCTCTCTTCTCTGTTCTTCCAGGTACAGGCAATGGAAAGTTCCCCACTCATGCTGATCGGAAAGCTATCCCTGAGAGGCCACTTGGAGGTAAATGTTTAATCACACTCCATGTGCCCTAGGTGGAATCCTGCTCTCATTTTGCAGATAGGAAAAACAAGCATTCACATGGATGAGTCAGCCAGCCCGAGGCCTTCTTTTGTCCAATGAAAAGTCCCCATAGATCCCAAAGCTCTGCCTGAAACATGAATCTTAATTTTTTTTTTAATTCATTCAAAATGTGGGCAGGACATTGCCATCAGTCTGTTAATATGTCCAGGTATTTCCTCTGCCTCCTTCTGTTTGGATGTTGCTTCTAAGAATAATAACCAAGTTGATGTGTACTTCCCTCCTGGGATTTTTAAAAAAATGAAATTAGTTTCTTAATTGACAGGTAATAATTGCACATCTTTATGGGGTGCAGTGTGATGTTTCAGTGACTTGTGTGATGATTAAATTAATATACTTATCCATTATCTCAAACATTTATCATGACTTAGTGATGAGACTAGGCAGCATCCTCCCCTGTGGTGCGTTGGATTTTTAGAATACAATGTGATGGGCATCGGGCAGCACAGTGGACCTCTGTATTTCCCCGCAGAGGCCATCTGGCCAGGGAGGGGAAGTGGGGAAGAGGAACACAAGCTCATAGGCCTGTGAGTGGGAGAACTGATGCTTGAACCTCTTTGGGGTCTCCTTCTGCTTACCCACGGTGCATCTGAAACATGACTGCTCCCTGGGTCCTGTTCTCAGTCACTATCTGGATGGAAAAAGATTCCCAGCACAATCCCCAGAAGGGCTAGTAACTGAGCAACAGAACTTGATCGTGGCATTGCCTGGGGCCTGCCCTCAATCTCTTCCCACCCTCCTCGGGGCCAGTTCCTGAAAGCTTTTCCTGCTCTTGACAGGCTCCCACTGGCCATCTTCAGCTGCCTTCATTGCAGGGATACAGGCGCTGGGGGTGGGGGTGGATAACATGCTGACCACCGCCCTGGGAGGGTTTCATCATGGCCCTGTCTCTTCAGTTAGGTGGCACAATTACTGAGAATTAGTCTTACTGAGTATTACTGAGTATTATTATGCTAAGAGGAGACCCTACCTATACTGGCTCACAGGAGCCTCCAGTGCCCCAGAGATGGGCATTTAATATTATTATTTTATGCCCAGGAGGAACTGGAAGAGACTCTTTGAAGCCAGCAAGTCATGATGCCAGGATTTTGAATCCAGGGCTGTTTCACCCTAAGGTCCTTGCTCTTAGCTTTTGATTCATTTTTAAACCCCCCCCCCCCCATCCTGGAGTTGAACCAACAAGGATCTTGAGCATACTAAGCAAAAGCTCTGCCACTGGGTTAATCCCCAGCCCTTATCAATCTTTTGATTCATGGGTCATTCAAGAGGAGTAAGATCAGGCAAGAGGTGACATGAATGTTAGCCAGTGTCACTTTTCCAGGTTCAATAGAGCATTGGAGCTTCCCGGTGGGACAGCGTGTTTGCAAGGAAAGATGTGTGGCCTCTTTGGGGTACTCCTAGAGATAAGGGGGGGGAGGACTTCTGACTCCATGGTAGATCACACTGGACCTTTGGAATGACCTCATGTCACACTGAATGAGTGGCCTCGGACATCTATGCTAAGTGGAGGCTGTGGCTGTGTCCACCCTGCCACCTCATCAGGACTCGGAGCCACCGAGAGAGATACTGAATGCCACCATGCAGGAAAGGGAAGACAGCCTTCTCATATTAAATGTTAAATAATGACCACAGACAGGATCTCACTTTTCACTGTCTGCACCTAGCCCCATTAAATTAAGGCGTCCCTTGGTGGGGGATTTCTAGCTGGGACTTCCCACATGGGTCAGTCCCTTCAGGGAATTTGTGACACTACTCTTCATCTGGGCTCTCAAATATCCAATGTAGGCATCACCTGTCACTCTCCCAAACTCCACATCCAATCATTCACCATTGTTCTAATTTATTTTCTTTACATAATTTCAAAACTTTCAGTAAATCTTATTAATTTTACTCCAAAATAAATACATCCCACAGCTTTTGATGCTGTAGCATGGCTCTTGTGTCATCGTCCCCTTCCCCCTTCAGCCACTGCATCCCCTGACCTGGGGGGGCGGGGTGCAGCTGTCCAGTCTGTCCACAGCTTCCTCTCTTTTCCCACAGAAATGTGTTCTCGAAAATCCGGCAGAATGAGGGCTGAGGGTGTGGGCCCCTGGAAGAGTGCTCGCTTAGCGTGTGCCACACTGGCCTAAACGCGCACACAAATCAGGCAGAATGAGCTTTTAAAAATACAGATCATATGCTGGGCACGGTGGTGCACACCTCCCGAGCAGCTCGGGAGGCTGAGACAGGAGGATCTTGAGTTCAAAGCCAGCTTTGGCAATGGTGAGGCGCTTAGCAACTCAGTGAGATCCTATCTGTAAATAAAATACAAAATAGGGCTGGGGTATTTTGTGTTTTATTTAAATAGAGAGTGGCTCAGTGGTTGGATGCCCCTGAGTTCAATCCCCAGTACAAAAAAAGAAAAAGAAAAAAGAAAAATGAGATCTGATCCGATAACTATTCTGTTTAAAATTCTTTGATGGCTGTTTTCCCATTTCCCATAGGAAAAAAAATCTAAACTCCCTTGGTCTCCAGGGCCCTATGTAAGCTTGTCCTGCCCACCTTCTCCTGATGAACTCTGTTGCAGGAACTCTTCTTTCTTCAAGTTTCTACCCATGACTGTGATCTACCCAGCCCCAGGGCATTTGCAAGCACAGCTCCTCCCATTGGGCCTACTACCACAGGAACTATGAGGAGTTCCACCCTTCTTTCAGGACTTTGTTTCTGTGCCAGCAGCTCCTGACATAAAATCTTCCCTGCTCCTCTGAGCAGGTCCCCCCTTAAGTGAGGTGTCCCTTTCATTTCCGTCTGATAATTTATCCCAGGTGGTATTCTGGGTAGAATTATGTTCTATAAAAGGGCAGGTCTAAGTCCTAAGCCCTTAGAACCTGTGAATGTGACCTTACTTGGAAATGGGGTGTTTGCAGATGTAATTCAGTTAAAATCAGGTCACACAGGTTAGGGGAGGCTAATGACTGGTGTCATAAGAAGAGGGAAGTTTGGACATAAGTAGGCACAGGGGAGGACACTATATAAATACAGGAGCAGAGATGGGGGGAGGGATGTGGACAAGCCAAGAAACCCAAGAACTGCTGTATCCGTCAAAGGCTGGGAAAGACAGGGAAGGACTCCCCAAGAGCATCTGGAAGGAAGAACCACACCAACACTTAGTTGCAGACTTTTGGCCTCCAGAGATGTGAGAGAGTAAATTCCCATGGTTTTAAGCCACCAAATTGGGCTAATTTGTTACCTAGAAAATGAATACAGCTAGTAATTATTTTGTTTGCTTATTTTTTATTTCTTAGATTTTTCTCTTACTTGACAAGAGTTTTATTTCATGATCGTTTGTATCCCTGGTGCCCAGTGGTATATGGAGCATATAGTAAATGCTCACCAAATACCTTTGTTTCCCCCATGTCCAGTCAGCTAGAACAGCTTATCCACTTTAACTTGCCCTGTGTTCCTTGCTTTGTATATCCTCTGTGGCTTCCATTTCTGTTCATCACCTCCCTCTCACTTTTAATTTTTAAAAACTTTATTATTTTTTTAGTTCTGGGCATTGACCCCAGGGCCTTGTGTATCTTGGCAAATGCTCTAGCATTGAGCTATAGCCTTAGCTCTTTCCCTTCTTTTTTAACACAGATCTGATCTTAATTTTCTGCTCTAAACCTAAACTCTTTAACCACTGCCCATACTAGTTTCTGGACCTTGAGTGAGCTCTGTAGCCTCTCAGCCTCAGTCTCCTGATCTATTCAAAGCTAGTAATATAGCACCTGCCTTACCAGGTCAATGTCGAAAATGACCAAGAATCAATGCAAAGCATGTCACATCCTAGCATTCTCGTGAATGCTAATTTCTGTTGGGGTTAGGTTATATGAAACACAAGGCTCTATGATATGAGTCTGAGCTGGCTTACCCAGCAACTATCAAAAATGATAAAAAGGTGCGGCCAATCTGGAAAACAGTATGGAGACTCCTGGGAAAGCTGGGAATGGAACCACCATTTGACCTAGCTATTGCCCTTCTTGGACTTTTCCCTGAAGACCTTAAAAGAGCGTACTACAGGGATACTGCTACATCGATGTTCATAGCAGCACAATTCACAATTGCTAGACTGTGGAACCAACCCAGATGCCCTTCAATAGATGAATGGATAAAAAAAATGTGGCATTTATACACCATGGAGTATTACGCAGCACTAAAAAATGACAAAATCATAGAATTTGCAGGGAAATGGATGGCACTAGAGCAGATTATGCTTAGTGAAGCTAGCCAATCCCTAAAAAACAAATACCAAATGTCTTCTTTGATATAATGAGAGCAACTAAGAACAGAGCAGGGAGGAAGAGCAGGAAGAAAAGATTAACATTAAACAGATACATGAGGTGGGATGGAAAGGGAGAGAAAAGGGAAATTGCATGATAATGGAGGGAGACCCTCATTGTTATACAAAATTACATATAAGAGGTTGTGAGGGGAATGGGAAAATAAACAAGGAGAGATATGAATTACAGTGGATGGGGTAGAGAGAGAAGATGGGAGGGGAGGGAGGGGGGATGGTAGAGGATAGGAAAGGTAGCAGAATACAACAGTTACTAATAGGGCATTATGTAAAAATGTGGATGTGTAACCGATGTGATTCTGCAATCTGTATTTGGGGTAAAATTGGGAGTTCATAACCAACTTGAATCTAATGTATGAAATATGATATGTCAAGAGCTTTATAATGTTTTGAACAACCAATAAAAAAAAATGATAAAAAAACAAGGTTTGCCTGGCATTTGGGCCTGTTGAAGTTTGGAAAAGACATCAATTTTGAAAGCATGGGTTTGCATATCATTATAGACACAAAGAAAATACATTAAGTGAAAGATTTAATGTAGGTTCACATTTATATCAAAATCGTGTCAGTGGCACCAGAGATGTAATTTTAAAAATAGAAA